AATGAGAAACATCCTGGATACGGCCGTTTTGCTGTGTGTTTTTTTCTTCGAACACGCTCAAAAATGCAGTCGTCCGGACACCCCGCCGGAATGGACACCAATATAATAACGTGCATGTCACACTATTTCCCGTATCGTTCGTTTCGGGGAACACCCTGTACAATATTATACCGCGTTAGAAATAATACGACGTGCGCGACACACGCGAATATAAAAAAAAAAAAAATTAGGACGTGCCAAACTTTGTGCCCTAACCGACCCCCGTCACGGCCCCTCCGCCACCGCCGCCGCCGCCACCCAGGGTTTGCTCGCCCGTCCGACGGCGGCGGCGTATAATATAATAAATCAAAACTTCTCTTCTCGCGGGCGGCGAGGCTTATTAATCCGGGCTCTTTTTCATCATCACCTTCCCCGGCCCCGGGGGCTTTGGCGCCCGCGCGTCCCGACACGGCCGACGACTACGCCATTCTGCACCGCAGTCGCCCGTCCGCCGGCACCGGGGCCATCATTGACAGGATGTAATCACGACAACGGCGGCGACGACGACGACGACGACGACGACGACGACGACCCTTTACGCCCGGACGACAAATCCCGCCGCCACACGCGTCTATACACATTCTACTGCTATTATTATTATTATAACGGAGACATAAATTATTTCTTTTATCATTACACACGGGGGCGTTATTAATTAAACTCATTTCTCCGGCGAAATATAATTTCTCGCCGCCGCCGCCGCCGTTATTTATCCGCTACGTGGCGCCCGGGCCGACGGCCAGTCGGAGTCCGCCGCGCGGAGAGCACGGCCGCGGGCTTGACCCGGATCCGGGGCGAAATCCGCCTCGGCCGTCCCGAGGACATGGGCGGCGACAACGGCGCGAGCAGAGTGTCCGGCGCGTTACATAAAATATTATCGTGTACCTACACACTCCGCGGCCGTGTGAGGTTTACACATTCGGGACAGGGCCGGCAAGAAACGCGCGCGATATTATTCGCGATTGCGGTTCACCGCGACAAGTCTAACGAAATACAATCCGCGGCGGAGACAATAATGCGTTTCCGTTTGTCCGGTCGTCCCATTAATATTTCACGAACAACGATAATCGTATACACCGCGGCGAGTCATTGAGAAGAAACCGCCGCGGTGGTCGCGCCTCGTCGACAATAATATAATAATAATGTTCGTCCCGGTCGAAAATTTTGATTTTCCCTCAACCCCTCCCCCCCTCCCCATTCGGCCAACGACTTTTACGCGTGTGATTTTCCGGAGAAAACCGTAATCGAAAAACCGTTAGTGCCGTAAATTTCCCTACAAATAGAATCCGTAAAAATTACCTTTTCCGATGCAAAATAAACGGTACACGCTTGAAAATCGAAGTGGGGTGTTTGGTAGAAAGTCATTACCAGACAGTAAAACTAAAAAAAACCCTCGTAGACCTCAGAATCTATACAAAACCGATAAACGGACGATGAACCCTTAACATTTTACGCCTAAACCTTTTAATACAGAAAGGCGAAAAATAAAATTGATTTCGATAAAGTTTTAAATTTTTAATTTGGCAAGTAAATAATAATCAACCTTCGTCGAAAATATAATTATAATTTATTCGGGTCGAAAATTTGCCTTTTTCAACTTATGTGTGAAAATAAATTTCACAGCAGGACGAACAATTTAATCAAAAGAACACGCTTAAGTCTTTATAAGTAGAGATAATATTATAATATTATAATGTTATCAGCTGTATATAGTAATCTAATGTCCTGTACATAATTTCGTGTCTAATGGAAATTAATTAATCATACTGAACTAAAATCTTATAAAAGTTTTTTTTTTTTTTTTTTGTAGCCTTAATAAATGTACTTTTATAAATATATTTAATACAATATGATGTCAAAATTAATATATTATGCGAATTCAGTATGCAAAGATACCGAACAATGACCTAACTGAATCATTTTGTATCATACTAAATCAACAAAATTCAGCAAACAGTTATATTTGGTCTTGGGGAAGATGGGCTGAAGTCAATTCATAGCACTTTTTTTCAATATAACACACGTGTGTTATACTAAAAATTCAAATATTCTAAATCACTATGACGTGCTTTTTCAACTTTTTATTTGACGAAATCGTTTTTAACTTTACAAATTTTCAAAATTTAATTTGCATATATTGAAAACTATACGAAATCGCCTAAAGCTCTCAGACCAACTATATTATAATGTAACGTATTATTAAAATTATATTATTAACATGAGTCCAAATTCTTTACATTGCCTAAACGTTTTATAACTCGACAAAACTAACGCTGGCCATGCTGACCTACAAATGCGCCATCATTATATATTAGTAAAATATACACAATAACGTTCAAACGAGCGATTGCTATCACGCGAGGGGGTGAGTTTACTCTGGCAAAGCCGAGGTATAAATCCCAAGCGAAGCACTGTCGCGGAGTAAGTATTCTGTAGTTGTACAAATATCGAATTTTCAATATAAACCCCTACGTCTTTGGCATTTGTGCTTGATGAACTGCATCGCAATTATCGTCTTTGCAATGGTTTAAGGCGCCTATACGTAAGTAATAATACACTCGTTTCTGGGAAATGCTGAAGAAATTGCTTAGCGTTATGCACACACACTTCGCCGTTATGTATACAGCTCGAAGACGTTTCAAATGACAAAAATATATTTTCGATTACACTTTATGGTATTAAGTTATAATTAATAATATATTAAACTAATGTTTTGTTTAAAAAGAAAAAATTCAATTGATGTAATTAAATTTTATTTTTTGTTCCTTTAACTGTTTAAATCGAATCACAGTTTTGATACTTATTTCATATTCGACTTTTCTAACAAAAATTTTGCTCCAATGTATAGATTATAGCACGTATTCTGAAAATAAAAAGGTATCTAGTTGGTGCATTAGAGAAATCGTTTTTTGATTTTCCAGGATAATTAAAAATAGTTAAGAAAAACCAAAAAAAGACAAAAAATTTAAACTTGCAAATTTACGGCACTACTACTTCATTATTTTGAATTTGTACGCTTCGTGTTTTCTACCAGTGTTTTACTACTTATTCCTCTAATAAAAAAACGAAAAGAAACCATTTCCGTTGCATTTTAAATCTAATTGGTTATTAATAAAAAAAAATTTTTGATTATCCAAGCGGCTTTAATAATAATTGGAAAAAATCGGGGCGAACCCGAGGAAAACCGGAAAAATTTAGATATAAAAATAATGATAATAATATTATTATTTTCAACTTTGTTTTTTTTTGTTGTTGTAATTCAGTTATAATGTTTGTAGAGACTTTCATTTGGACAGAAAACCTTTTCTAGACGTGGTCAAATATTCAAATCATTTTAATCGATTTTGAGCTATTTATAGACATTTTAATTTTGTGAATTATTTACGTAATTTTTATTTAGTAGGTACTCCATAATGTGATAAAATTGTAAGAACGAACAGAAATGTTTGACAGAATGTTCATTATAAGTTGTACTTAGAACATCAAGAAAATCAACAAAACGAATTTGTGTTGAATGAATTTTTTTTTTTCTATTAAATTTTAACGAAAATCACAAATATTACGGCCTTTCAAAATATATATAACCGAATTGTTTTTCATTATCAATGATTTATCGTTTTTTTACAGATATAATTTAAATAACTTTATTTATCCTACTTCCTAGCTTCTCAAACTTGGCAATGGCGCACCCGTCCCCAGTATTATAGTTATTATTTTTTTTTTTTACCAACCGTTACTCGGTTTAACGTTAAATTCCAAAATACTTTGATTATTTTGTGATAGTTGAAAATAATAGTAAGATGGATGATTGCATGAACTTAAGAAGTAAAAAAAAAAATATACTATTTTCATTTTGCTATATGAAAATGAGAACCACTATATGATTAAGCAATTTGTAAATGTTTATTATTTTATAATATATTACAGTGTACGCCGTTCCTTTTGTATTTCTGAAAAAAAAATACCTATATATAATTTGATATAAAATTACACGTTAAAATAAAGTGAACGATGAATCGCGTGTAATGTCTGCTCGGAGTGGTGGTTGCAAACACCCGGCGATCTATCATCTAAAGAAACGAGAGATTAAATTCCAAAAAAAAAAAAAAAAAAATGGTATGTAGGGAGTTAATAAAAAAAGAAGGGGAAAACAAATATTAAAACAAAGAGACTCGCGTGCGTGCAGTTTTATAAAAAAAACCTAGGGCGCAGCAAAAACTGTGCTTTTTAAAGTTTCGAGAGCACACATTAAATAAACCCCCGTGTTTACTCAGGGGAGTATTTAATTAATCCATCCAAGTATGTTGTGGGTATATGTGCATGCGATATTCATGATATTATAATACTGTTATGTCCTCAGAATGATGACTCTGAAATATGATGAATTTTGTATACCGTTAAAACGATCAAACACACTGTGTATAATATCATATTGTAATATTATTATTTATCCCTTACTCCGTAAAACTGTTTACAAAAAAAAAATATCAAAATTTATTAGGTAGGGATTTAAAATAATAAATAACTGTATAAAAATAGTATAAGATGCCCGCGTTCGTTTTACACAAGTAGGTTTTTTATGTATTTACCTAAGCACGCCGACTCACTGATATTGCATATATATATATATTGTAAAATATTATTAATTTTATTTATTTATTTAACAATATTTAAACTTATTATAAATACTTTCAAACCTTTCAATAAATAAATATAAAAAAAAAAAGCAACCAAATACAAATATAAGAATTGCAAATGTACAATAATTGTTTAATGATTTTTACATAAATATAATAATACAAGTTATTATAAAAAAAAAAAAAACATAATAAACGAGGTAATGATAATATGAACAGTAATATGTATGAATATGTATAGACAGCAATGAATATTACTTTTGTAATACAAAATCGTTAGCAAAATTATAGTCACAATTGGAAATATTCTTATTGATCCGGAGTTTAGAAACCCTAAAACACGAATTGTGTATAAGATTGATGCGGTGTCCAAATATTTTAAATTAATTCTCACCTAGAGTTTCGCGATTAATATTTTGAATAACTGTTTGATTTGAAATTGTATTATACAGTTCAAACCCGGTTCATCGTACAATTTCGCCAGGCTAGTCAGAGATTCTATCGTCCACGGATGTAATGTGTTATGTACCTTATTAAAAAAATATAAAAATTATAATACTACAATCGGGGAAAAATTCAATGGGAGGGGGGGAGGATGATATATTCAACATACTTTGCTATCCGCGCACGATTCCAGAACTTTGACTACGAACGGTGTTCTAAACTCCCCACGATCACCGCTGTTATAGGATCGGGTCGAAAACGAGTCGAGTTCGCCAAACTCGTCGATCATAGTGATCCTGTTTTTTTCGCAATCGTAATCATACCGAACCAATGGCCTGAATTTTTCAACAACGTCCTGTACAGTTCTTTGACGCAAGACATATTCAATTTGTTTTGTTTGAATAGAATCTAACGATATAAAATTCAAGATATTATATTTTAAATTAATCGGTTTGCGTATTCTGGGTTGATAACAGACATATTTCTATGCTTACTCTAATGTTTTTCACGGTTTCCCTTCGTGTCAATGTTTTGAGGGGTATGTTATTTAATTCGTCCAGCAAGTTCAAATGCATCGCGTGAAAGTTCGCCTCGATGGCGATTCGTTTCGTTAGTAAGTATCTCGATAACCAAGGCAGACATTCGTCGGTCCATATCTCTCGGATTTCCTCGCACTTTTATAAAATACAAATAAATTACTGACACGATAATTATAACAGATATGAAGTATTTTGATAACATTTGTCTTTGTATACGTTAAATATTAATATTAACCTTAGTTTAGATGTTGAATTGATTCGGGTCTTTTAAGATTGTAATTATTTCCTTTTGTACGCTTTCTTTATCTTTTTTCGTGGCCTTTTTTCCAACGCGTTTGTTATTATTATCGATATTTTTAATTCGTTTCAATTGTTGTTCTTCTCCGGTATTTTTCATTATTTTTGTATTTTTTGAAAATTCTTCGCCCATGTTAAAACTTCTCTCGTGGTTTTCTCAATCAAATGCCAACACAAAATACATAATACATATAGCAAACATTAATAATATCGTTCGAGCAATAACATTGTATTCATCATTCGTAATTTTATTCTAAGATATTTATCAATATCAAGATAATGTTCTCAAAGATTCTATGCAATTTTTAAAATTTCTACATCCAATATACACTATTATTTTTCTTTAATCATATCTCGTATACGTGTTTTGGAATATTTGAGATTTCCGGCATGTAATTTAAATATTGATGCACGCGATCGGTCTTCAAGCATTTATTGAACTAGTCAACCGCACTCAGGCCGAATCCGAACATACCGGATTTGTGATCTTGTTTGAGCGCTTCCAATACAAATTGCAACGCTATACGCGAATTTTCGTCATTTCTACAAATAAATAAATAATACAAATAAAATATGGTTATTTATACTATACTCGATAAATAACGCATAGAAGATTACTTACTCGATGATACCGCGCTCTATAACGCCACCACAAAGGTGGCCTACAAATATCAGTTCGTTTCGCTTGTACGTGGGGAAAATACTGGTATTGCCCGAATAAACTTGCCAAATTATTTCCTGCAAAACGTTAAAATAATTGTATATTATATTTCAATTGTTGACAATTTTCTCGTTTAACGCGCATTATTGTTAACAATAAGAAAAAAAAAAAAAAAACATTTAAGCTAAATTTAAAACGGTCGAAAAAAATAATATTTTTAAAAATGTTGAAAACGAGCTAAGTCATCGGGTATAAAAGACGACAATTGAGTATGAATATTTCCAAAGTGAAATTATAACTGATAATAAATAATGGTTTAATATATATAACCTTTCTTTTCGGTCTATAGTAAATATCTTCCAGCGAATGTAACACGTAATCAACGGACTGTGTTTGCTGGATCATTGCCGAGTAATATAATCTCCGAAAACGGACTTTGGCGATTCTTTCGGCCATAGTTTTTTGACAACTTATAAAAATAGTAAACGATAAATATACAAGGGTCGGTCATTTTAATTCAATTTTAAACCGCCTATAATATAATTACGATTAGTATATTGTCATTAAGAGTTTTTAGTTACTATTCAGGATTTGATAACCGTAGTTATCGTGAAAAAAGAAAAGAGAAATTAACGCGAAACAATATAAATTGTAATACATTGTGTAACGACAGTGTTATCGGAATGGTGAAGAAAACATCAGTGAACGTATTTTTCGATCGTTGGTACCCGGTCGGTTTTTCCGGTGCAACAGCGTTACACGTTGTTTATTAATTTCGCCAAAAAGTTAATGTTTTAAGCCGATAACAATGTACAACGTTTGCTTCGATTGAGTTGTTACATGTGTAAGTGTCAAGTGTTAAGGACAATCTTTATATTATATAAATACACAGAGTGATTCATTTTACGTAAAACACCCAATATTGTTTTGCAAAATATTAACTTTTATAAAAAAAAAAAATGTTTTTTTTTTTTTTGTTTAACAGTTATTATTTGAAACATGGAGCTCTAAACATTTATATTACCGTTATATTTTGACACCCTTATATCTGGAGATGAAACGACTATTTACGATAATTACACGGACGTGAAAGACTTTTTTTGTTTATTTATTTTGCAAAATATTAACTTTTATAAAAAAAAAAAATGTTTTTTTTTTTTTTTTTATTTAATTTTAAAAAAAAAAAAAAAAAAAAAAAAGGCCATTATAATATTATCAACGAAATCTAATATTTTTCGATTATAATCACGAACTAAGATAATACTGATTGGCAACGAAAAGGCAGATGTTTGGTAACAGTGCAGTCAGGTTTTGAGATGCAGAATAACTCAGTGGGAAACCACTAACCAAATAAATTTTTTCTTGTCCAAATAGGTTTTTTGGATCAACAAAAAGCTGGTTTTCAAAAAATCATTGTTTGCATATTGTTACTATAATACAATAATTCAATATAAATAAATGTATAATAATTTTTGTACAGCAAATTGTTCATTAGATCTTTATAATTATCTATTTTAAGAGGACGCTATACCCGCACAAATTGATATTGAAAACAAGTTTTACGGGGACGCATTTTAACTGAACTGTAATCATTCCGCAGATTCAAAATTTTTACGCAGTATAGATGAGAATTTTATCTGTGTTCCGGCATTTTTATTTTTTCGATAAAATTATTTTTAAAAAGTTATTGCACCTTAAACATCCATAAATGTATGCGTTTTTCAAATGCTTGTCAATAAAACTTGAGGGGAAATCCGAAAAAAATACAAATACTAGAACACAGCTAAATGTTCTTTTTAATGGAAACTGAAAATTGCATGTATTTGTTTTCATTGCAGTGCCCGTGTTTCAAGTGCCCGTAAAAGAGTTTCAAACTATGTTTTACGGCAAATTGCTATCGACGCGTGCTGGTCCCGTGACTAGCGACAGCGTTCGGTTACTTCGTACCCCCACCGCTGTAACAGTTGTTACCTACGTCGACGTTCGCGAGCTTTGCACGCGAAGTTTTTATTGTTTACATTATTTATTTACAGTTTTAATTGTAGCGTGCATCGAGATGTATGATATACTACACACACAGTCTGTGCTATAATAAGATAATTGAAATCAGTATCTAAATATAGATACAAGTATCTTAAGAGTATCTTAAACAACCGAAAAATGACATATTTTTGGAATAAACTGTTTTTTTGGTCGTTTTTAAATCTATTTTTACACGTAATACTATTATGTTATGAAAAAACCAATCGATTCTGCATTCATATAGATGTGTATTTATACAATTTACCGAAATCTCTGTTCGTCAGTACCTAATTATAACGGATATAAATCTAAAAAATAGAGCAGAAATACGCAACGCAACGCGGATGGAGAACGTAATCAATATAGGGTTATTGAAATTATTTCTGTTCGCAATGACAAATCATTGCAAACGTAAAACGATTCTGTGCAAAGTTCGGTAAAACCTGTTTTGATAAAAAAAACATACTAAATAACTTCAAAAAACAGTAGAATTATTTCAAAACTATACCACGTCTAGAAATAGTTGATTTAATTAAAAAAAACCAACTACAAAATTTGTCTTTTCGATTATTATTCATTGAATTAAATCAAAAATAACAGAAACCGTTATTCCGTAGAAATTCCCGTTTCCCTACATTTCTTTCCTAATATTGAGAAAACTACATTATACGGAATTGACCTTCTCGATGCACCACTTGGATAATATTTGACACCAAACACCACCTCTAAATTTGATAATCGGAACATGATTTTTTGTAGAGAAGTTGTTCGCAGACAGAACAAAAACATACATCGTAGTAAAACCAATACATTTCTCGATAAGTTCTGAAACTAAAACTAATACCTATTCGTGTAAAAGTAGATTACAAAACCTTTTCGAAACACGTTGGAAATAATAGAAACACGACCAAGTAGATATAAGAGAACATACAAATTACAATGTAATTATTTCAGAGAAATCTGAATTCCACTGCGAGACATTGTGACTCATGTTCGATACTCTCGATACACACGCGTGTTTCCAAATATTACGAATAATGTAACGCATAATATTATTATATTAACTGATTTTTGAAAGATTTTTAAACATTTTTTTTTCCTTTTTTCGAACCGTATTTTACGTGAATAATAATATTTGTAGTATATTAAGAATTTATGGTTTAAAAAAAAATAATATGTTTCTTTTTTAAAGTCATGTGATACGTATTATGAATTATAAATTTACAATACCAATGTTACTTTCGAAATAAACGACTCTCGAATGCGTGTTTGAATAATAATACACTAAGTCAATGAAAACGTATGTATTTGCTCCGGAAATGCGTTTTTACAAACCATATATTATACTTGTATAGTAGGTATATGCGTATAATACTTATACATAGAAATTTATTGTTTTTCCAAAGGATACATTATTATAATATACATATACAATAAACATAAAGAGAATATATTTCTTTACTTATTCTGAATAATGTATTATTAACTTAAATTTACTGAAATATTTGTCCTGTATAGTTTATGTTCTCGATAATCCATACACAATGATAAGAATGAACGATAGGTAAGTATATTTATCCCTATTATGTATTATGTGTAATAAATATTGTATTAAATTATTGTACGAAATCATTAAAACAATTCAAAGTCGTTTTTAGTAAATACGTACTTTTAGGACGTCACGATAACATTTGCCATCTCTGTCTATCTAACGGGGAACATAACGAAAATTGCTTCTCGTACATCCAATAGTACTCAGGATCGAATAGATCCTAAACAAAAATTGTTTCACCAAATTAAATATGAATGCATTCACTACGTTTTCTATAAGAATTTTAAATTATATTCAATTAACAATCTCAATTATTAATTTTCCAATAAAAATGTATATATATTTTTTTTTTTTTGAGTAATAATAGATTATCTGGAAAAGAGATGTCGAAATATCTCAATTCAAAAACAATAGTAAATGTTTCAGTCTTTAATTTGGTGAAATAATTGTTATTTTAGGTGTATTAGATCCTGAATACTATTTGAATTACGGAAAAAAATTTTCGCTATACCTATTGTCCGTTAGAAAGACAGAGCCTGCAAATGTTACTATGGATAACTTTTTAAGGGTCCACTTTCGTGTCGAATAAACATTCAAATTTAGATAATTTAGATAAATTCGATTGTGCATATCGTTGTACAAAACAATTATGAATCTCAAAATAATTGTTTGTTGTGTTATTAAATTATACTGTGTTTGTATTTAAAATATGGCAGTTGACGGAAGGAGTACAGCCCCCGTGTAGTTCATTCTTTGGAACACTGTCTTTGGGACCATGTACTCCAGGACAAGATTATTTTACCACACATTTATTTATACTTATATGCTACGATAAATCATTGTAAATGTAAAGCGATTCTGAAGTTTGGCTAAACTTATCTTAGTAAATATAGTAAAATTTTAAATTGTATTTTTAACGTATTTTAACATACAAAATTCGAATTTAACTTTAAACACTGATCAAAATGTTTTGAAGTATTAATACTTAGAACAATATGCTAGGTTTTATAAGCTATAAGCTACCAATTGCTGTCGAAAGAGAGGTATTACTGAATATATATGGCCCAAACCATAACACAGTGACAAAGCTGACAAGGTGAACTAAACGAAATAAGAATACCGAAAAAGAACTTTAATTATTATTTCCTTAGTCACCATCGACGAAGGAAAAGATTGAACATTAACTCCCTTCATTCTCCACCTCGAAAATACGCCACTATGTAATATGATTCTTTAACCACCAATCATTTTTTTTTTTTTTACGTATAATATATATCATGCCACGTTATAGACGGAAAAAAACAATGTCAATACAGAATGCAGCGTACATATAAAGCGGAAATCTATCTATTACGGAAATGTTTTATGGTCTCGGCAAAATAATAGGGATTTGTTTGTTGTTGAATAAAACGGAAATCTGCCTATACAATAGACATTTTTTTTTTTTTTTTTCATTTGCACGTCATTTCGTTCCAGACACATTATAATACATTATTATATAATAACAATATTTGTTGTGTATATATATATATGCAAATTTCAAATACAATGCCGTGCTATACTATCATAAAAAAAAATATTCAATTTTATAAAAGTATATAAAATATCGAGTAAAACATAATTTAAATATATGTGTATTAAGGAATCATAAATATAATGAAAAATCAAATAATCACATAATCAAATCAAATCAAATAACAAAAAAAAAAAACACAATCGTTTTAAAAAACATAACCTAAATTGGTTAATATATCATTGTATGTGTGGATACACTACTTCGACTATCCAGTTAAAGACTGCAAACAATCGAAAAAAGAAATTCATTCATGAGAGTGATTTAAAAATGTAACAATTAATGTTTAGTCAAATATAAACACGAATAAATTAGGTATGAATATGATTCTTGATGTAAACAGATCTAACCGGGCGTTACTAACATTGTACAAATGTATGAATCGATTGCAGTAAGTCTACTTGATATAATTTAGGACTGGACGCGTTAGACCAAAATATGTTATTCTGAAACGGAATAAGAGCTAGCTCTCTAGCGCCCCGTCACGGGCCGTTCGGACGCGGCCTTTTGACGGGAAGTTGTACAAGTGTGTTTAAGTCTACAAATGGTATTTATTAATGTCTAAACAAAACGCGGTCGACAAATTATAATTACGAGTGAACGCCGTTGCGACGCCAGACCCGGACTCAAGACTCGGTTGTATTTAACAGCAGTATGTGAGTACACTGTAGAAATCACTGGACGGGTCGCCCCGTCGAAGGTGACGGCGCTCCTCCTCCCCGTGCGTCGGCGGTGGTGCAGCTACAGCCTCGGTCGTCTCGAGCTGACCGAACGAACGCCACGGCGGCCATCACGGTCACCTCGTGTACGGTGTGTCGCCTTGATCGGGGCCTGGGTGACGGCGGACGCTGCCGCCGCTGTCTACTGGTGGCGCGCCGTCCGCGCCCGGACCCGTTTTCCCTCTTTCGGCCCACGGACGCGTATCGTCCGTTGTTGCATGGGAACGCCGCCGGTTCACCACACCCGTGTTAATGCCCCCCCCCCCACGTGCGTACACACAATGACACCGGTCTCATATTTTCAGCCGCGTAGAATTATCGATTTATATTCGACGTGACTTAAACACGCGAAGGACAGAGTCCGTAACAGCTGCAATCTTGGGCCTTATGAGACTTCCACCAGATCTGACACTATCCTGTCCATCCATTTCTGTCTAGGGTCACCCCTGGGCCCTTTTCCGTTCAGTCCTCCGGCAAGAACATCGTCGGCTGTAACTTTAAGTCTCCAAATATGACCAGCCCATTGTATTCTTTTGGTTTTCAGAAACGCATTGATAACGGACCTACGGGACGATCACTATACTTCCTGATTAGTTCGTTTTCTATATTTTCCGTTATCGATTATAGACCCGTAGATTCAGCGTTAGTACACTCCTTTTAAATATATATATTTTTCCACCGTCTCCCTTGGTTACCGACCAGGTTTCACAACCATACGTCAGAACCGGACAAATAAATCTGGAATATAGGTATTCCTTGACTTTATGGATAAGAGTCTCGACTTTAACAATTTTCCCAGCTTAAAATAGCCCTTATTTCCTGATATAATCCTTAATATGATTTCGCTGTGCATACCGTTATAGTTATTTATATTATTTCCTAGGTTATCTGAATCCGTGACCTGCTGAAATACATATAACATACCCATCAACTTGCAAATCAACTTCGTCTCTCAATTGATACTCTAGTTCTAATGCTCAATAATTTAACTAATTTTTATTGCGTTCTTGAGTTTAAATCGTGTATAAAAGGAGAAAAAAATGGCGTAGTTAACTCATTTCTTATTTTCGTTCGACTTGTTACAGCCTTGAACTGGATAGTCAAATTATTAATTCATATATTAGGGAACCTATGTTTATTTATTGGCTTTAATAAATTAAATTATTCATTTAATCGATTTGATGATCACCTAGAATTAAAACAAGCGTATTATAGATACATCGGTTGTTATTTTTTTTTTTTTTAATGGAAATTATTATGCAGTCGATTATTTTGCCAATATCATTTACTATGAAAACTGGTATCCATCATAAAATATGCAGAATATTTCACAATAAATAATGTACTTTAATATTACGGGTTGTCCACTTGTAATATTATTATTATTGTTTCGCTATGGGTACCTACTTAAGGTATGTTTTCAATTACAAGACGAATGTAGGATGGGAGAAACGGTTTTTTTTATACGTAGTTGCGTATTTGACCTTTAAAATAAAAATAAAAACACTTTCATAAGGAATGGAAAATATTGTTTTCGTTTTCAAGTAGGTGTAGGTTTATTGTACATACGGATAAACCTAGTTCGAGTTCACCGAAATTGTTAGTATTTCACGAGAGAATCTCGAGATACACACGGTGTCATTATAGAAGACAATATATTATGAATCAATCACTGCAGAATCAGGTAGTTTATCCGCGAAAACTAAACGAAATCGCAGAATACGAATGATGAAAACAGCTAGGCATCTGTTGTAATAAATTCGATCCTATTCTGCTACCGATCGTTTTACGCGTCGTTATTATTTATAAAGTATACGAACCAGTGGATACGTCGAGTTGCAAACGGTTGTCCCTGGAAACAAACCTATTGGAAACGAAGCAAAACATAATATGTCGAGTGTTCAAACGGTACGATCGGTGGCTGTACATTATCGGTGTCAAATTTTCCCCGTACTGAGATTGGGAACTTTACTGAATAAAGTAAATGGCCACAAAAAAAATGTCGACAATTCGTTACAATTCTATATGGCCGTAAATTGTGATTATGGTCAGTAAAACTTACGAATTCCCGATTGTCTACAACCCATGCCCGATGCCTACAGGATAGGTTAGGCTACTCAGTGGCGGACTGAAACAAAAATACCGTGATGCAGACAATTTTTGAGAATTTTTTTTTTTTTTTAAACCTAAATATTGCTTAAATATATAACACATGAACAGCAAATCTATATTAATATTATAAAGCTGAAGAGTTTTCAATATCATGCAATAAAACTGTAAACATTTCTATTAAGACCTTGACTTGGTTTCAGGAAAGAGCAATGCTAAGCAAGTCAATAAAATAAATGGCATGATGCTATTGAGATTAGTGCACCAACAAACATTTACTGTTCGGCTGCTGCTGTTATTGGTAGAGAGGAGCCGGTACATTATCCAACTGAATTTTTAAATTCTTTAACCCCTCCAGAGACTTCACCGCATAAGTTAATTCTAAAGGTAGGTTCTCTTATAATATTACTCCGGAACTTGAGTCCGCCAAAATTATGCAACGGCACAAGATTTCAAATAAAATCTTTAAAAAAAACTGTCTGCTTGGGTGTACGAGTCTGACGAGTTGTGGAGCTGGCGAAACGGTCTTGGTTCCCGAAATACAATTGCTACCGACCAATCTACCGTTCACGTTTAAACGGCTTCACTTTCTCGTGAAACTATGTTTTTCAACGACTGTCAAACAAGGCACAACGTCAAACGTTAAATTTTACAGGTTCAATGTCCAATGTCCAAGGTCCAATGTCCTTCTCATGATCGATTGTACGTGGCTATAGCACGCGTCACGTTCAAAAATAAAAATGTATTCGTATACGAATTTATACATATTTTAATAATTGTCGTCGATTGACGATATGATTGTTTAAAATCTGGTTTTTATTATTATTAAATTATGGTTGTACACTGTAAACACATCGTACTAATTTAATTTCGGGCATTTCCGGTTTATATACCAATCGTTATTATCACGTGCGGGATTCCAAGTGACGTCGAATTACGCCAATATTTTGAAATGCGCTCGGTAAATGATTCGTATCAATACTTTTCTCGAAACGATAAAGAGCGCGACTACATAATAAGAGAGAGTAAATTCTAGAGACGATAGGTAGGTTTTTTTTTGTTTTCCATATCTCCTGTTGAATAGCCGCGATTTTTCGACTAAAGGTCTTTCGGTTCGGCTGCATCCGAGTTCCGTCCCGAATTTAAAATTTGAATTCAAGAACACACTAGTTCCGTCTGTCCAGCGTAATTTATTTAGTTACACGAGTTCCGTCCCTTTTCGCATTTTCCACACTAGATTATTATAGTTTAAAATTTATGACTACGACAACGATAATTTCATATTATTTAGAGATAAAGATAATATATCACATACATTTAATCCAGTAACAAATTTTTAATTGTCACAGTACTACTTGCTTTCAATGCTTTAATATTATTTGAATTTTCCGTATTTAAAATTGATGTATTTGAACATCGATAAGAAAAATGTACGCGCAGATTATTGTTTGTTATTACGCTGACATTTTTCGGTCAGAAAACCTAGTTTTTATTTTGGACGGAATCGGTACGCGCCTATTTTTAACGCGGGACGACGGAATCGGTCAAAAGACAAAAACAAGAGAAAAAAAAAAAAAAAACGGTTATTGGGACGGAACTCGGACGCCAGCGTCCGGTTCGAACACGTTCAACGCGGCCGTCGCACGCGGTGGTCGCCGCGGGGCGATCCCGAAGACGGCCGTGACGAACGGATATCGCGTGGGGCGCGCTGTCCCCTCGGCGCCCGGTGTCGCGGTGACAAACGTCCCGCCGAAACACAAAATAACGCGCGCACGGGCGCGCTATACGTACACGAGTGTATACCGTCGTCATTATGCCAGGTACCCCACATTAGATAATAATAATATTGTTATGTAAGAAATCGGCGCGCGACGGGCATAACATTACGTCCTGTGCGGCGGCGGCGGCGGCGGCGGCGACGACGACGACGATAATAATAATAGCGTGCCGGCAACGGTGGCAAATTGCCAACGGGAATCTGTGTGTTCCGGTTGTGCCGGATCGCTGGATTCGCCGGGCGGTTAATAAACCGGAATAGATGGCTTTTATATTGCGCGCGCGGCCACGCCCAATATTACGACGACGACGACGACAATATTCGCGACCGCCGCCGCAAACGCCGCCGGCGGCATCGCAGTCACACCGCGCCGCCGCCGCCCCTGCGCGTCCAAACGACGGTCGTACACACGTAATATATATTATACACCTATATTGTTATATACTGCCCTCCCCCCCCCCCCCCGCGCGCGCGCGCGCGGTAGGGTTGTCTTGTATTTATTGCACAATCATTATGTCTGCGGGATAAATGCGGTGGCGCGCGCACGCACACGCGTTTATTATGTTACGGAACGAATTAGGAAAAACAAACAATAATACCGGCGCGGCACAGCGCTTCTCCACCCGCGGAGGGCGGGTAGAGAGGGGGCGTCCGGCGTCGGTATCTCGCGATTGACGGCCGTGCCCCCGTGCGAGTTTCGAGTTTGACGTGCGCGCCGCCGCGTCAACATGGCGAACGGCGATTAGCACCGCGGACTGTTCGGAAACGAAATACGCCGCACGAGTCGCGAGCGGCGAGGGCCCGGGTTTCACGCGCCGAAAACGCTAAAAACGCGTAAAACTGCGATAATGCCCTCAGGACGAAAACGGCGCGTCCGTTGGTTTTATTTATTGTTTCATTGGGTAGGCAATAATGTTTTTGTTTTATTTCAAAAAAAAAAAAAATAAAACCGAAAACTGAAAATGTCGATTCGTGACCAGAGCGACGGTAGTGAATATACCAAGTATATTTAATCGACGGTCGTACTATGTACAAACACGGTACCTTTATGATCGTATTACAAATTATTTTACACTCGTATGTTGTACAAATGTGCGTGAAACCGAAAAAAAACGCCTCAAATAAGAAAAAACTTTGAAAACTGCAAAAAAAGGCCCATTGAAATTGGTGTTCTAGTTATAATTATAGGCACATAAAAATTATGTTTTGTTGTTTGCTGTTTGTAACGAATGCCTGCACTAGTGTATTAAAATGTTTTCGTATTCGAAATTATTATAAATGAAAGAAGCTTGTGTTGCGATTATTGTAGTTTTGGCAACCGACAATTAATAAAATTAAGGGAAAAAAAATGAAAGAATAATACCGAGTAAGATGGTCAAAAAAACGGTTTTGTACGTGGTAAAATTCTCACGAATTTTGTTTGCCCGATAACGTGTTTCGAACATAACTACACACGGCCAATCATTGTTGCCAATCACTGCGACTACGGAAAATCAAACACATTTTTAATTCATTAGAAAAAAGTGACAGTCGTCTGCACACACGGGCGGGTGATAGTTACACAAACTGCAGACTGTATCGAATAATCGTGTTATGAGCTTCGTTATTTTTCGGTTTGAATAACACGAGCGTATGCATTTTCAAAATATTATTACATGTAGTGTATTCAAATTTACCACCACGTACAAATATAATCGTGTACTTTCAATTGAGTTGGACCGGTCACGCGTGGAGATCGGAAGGATTGCGTGGTGGTGAAATAACGAGATGGAAACAAGATACTCAAGACTAAACAGTGAAGAAGGCGACGAGTCTGGCGTCCCGGACAAAGTAAAGGGAGATTCAAAATTGCTGGGCGCGGTGAACGACGAAGAGGTGATAGGGAGAAATGGATACAGGATGTTTTATCTGCGCGATCGATCTAGGCCGCGGCCTCCGAAAACCTCACAGTTATACAATTGCGGGGGATTTAAATTTTAAACGTCAACCACAGGAAAGGGCAATTACATTAGTAGGTACTACTAGTTGTATGCCCGTTACAATTGACGGGTTATAATTACCGTTGACGGTTTTTTTTTTTTTTTTTTTTTTTTAAATAGTTTTCGCTAAATCCAACTGCTACAAAGCTTTGTAGCTACGAATTTTAATGAAACCGAATAAACGTTCGGTTTCGAAACACAACCAAAGTCGTGTTTCGTTTTTTACATTAAAAAAATCATTATTACGGCTGCATACGAACTGCGTGCATAAAAACGAAAATATATGTCGCGACAACCGAGTTGCGTCCGCGGTTTTTGCACATCACGTCCGAGTTGCGTCACGGTTTTTCGGTGACTGTTCCGAGTTACGTCCGCAAGAATAATTGATACATACATATTTTCCATTCCGCTTTTACAAACTGAAGATCGTCATTTATATAAACGGTGTGGTTAAAAATTGTATTATTATTATTATTATTTAAAATTTATTTTTTTTTTTTTTATAAAATGGGCAAATTTGTGTACGCCAATTGTGTAACGTATTCAAGACGTGTTATATTTTTGTTTTCAAACTAAGTCATAGCATTTATAATAAAGTCTTCTTTTTTCACATCCTCTCTTCGTTTATATATTACATTCGTGCTCCGCATTTTAATGCAAGTGTCAGTTTGGACATTTTTCAATACTTCTAAAAACTGGAAAATATTAATAAAGGGCGAATAAAACATTCCATTTAATTTTGAGTGAAATGACTCGCGTGTATTAGTGGTACGCATTAACGAGTTTGAGAACTTTGCCCATATTGACGGTTGATATTTACGTTCCAGCGAAATAATAATAATTTTTTCAAAATAATTTTACAAATTATCAATTCTTTGATCGTTAGGTTTTATAGCTATTAAGTCATCATAGAAACAGTTATTAACCGCATCGGATTTTAAAAGTGAAAGAACAAAAAAGAATTTCATACATTTTTCAATTTCAGATTTATTTTTTAGACCAACATTTTGAATTTTTCTTCAGATTGATTGTGCTAGGTGAAATCAACAGCCTTTTTGTATAACTCCAGGAAAAATATCTGAAACAGTTGAGTGTATAGCTTGTTCGAAGTCTGCATAAACTATGTTTGGTGCAAAATTAGAATTCAATTCATTCATTTTTTCTAATAAACTATAAAATTTATTTTTATATATTGATATAGTCTTGCCTGTTGATGAAAAAAATACTTAAGGTGTATAAGTAATATTTTTAGCACCACGAATCCTAAATAATTAATAGAACGGTTTCGGACAACTTTTAAATGTGCCATCGATATACAAAACTTTACACTCACTTAAAAAATTTAATTTGTCGTCGTTGGAAATGCTACAATTGGTTATTTATTAGTAAGAAAATTTCGTCTATGTTATTTTTAATCTCACCCAAATTGGTTAGCGCCAAATGTAATTCTTCCAGATTTGTAGGCAATTTTGGAATTCTGCTCAACCGAGCATAATAAATATTTTTCCTAATACGATTTATATCTGTGGTAGTCAATGCACATACATCTCCTTCACGCAACTCCCGTTGTAGAATTTTACACGGCTTTTCACATGGATCATCGAGAGCTTTACGTTTCAATTTGTTACTGATTTTTTGACGATTTAAAAAGTTTTCGTCGTCCTTGTCGTGATCATGATTTAAAGCATTAAAACCTATTTCACTATTTCCGTTCACTTTGACATAACACATGAACACGGCCACCTCTGAACATTACCATTTAAAAATTTTTGGAAAGCAAATTTGTGTCCATTAACACAATATAATTGTTTATTTTGTTCACTAAACATTTTAATTATTTCAAGATTTTCCATTGCAAAGTCAAAATTAAAAATATTATGTTCGATTGAATTTCGCAGTGTGACTGATGCTAAATGGAAAATGTCCAACAATATAATATACGGGTAGTGTAGATAATATAATATACAACAATACAGATAAGGTATCCGATATATTATCGACGGTAATCGATTTTATCTACGAGTTTATCACCAAGCATATAGAAATATAATAACCGTTATTATTATACTCGTATCATTTGACCGTGGACGCAACTCGGACGTGTTGTGCAAAAAAACCGCGGACGCAACTCAGACGTGTCGTGAAAAAGTCACGGACGTGACTCGGACAAAACATCATTTATGGACGCAATTCGAATGCACCGATTATTACACACAATAACTGCGCACAGACTGAAATATTAATTGATATTAAATGATTAATGATCATGCGACAATAATTTATTGGGTGATGACGTTACTTGGAACAAAAAATTGTGGCGTTTAAATTAACATTGGATTTTAATCACAAATAATAAAAACCTACATAGCTATAATTTTTTTGTATTGCAATTTGTTTAGAAAAAATGAATATACAACTATCGAGAATATTAGCTTCTTTAGATTTTATTATTTCTGTATAAACGCCACAATTTCCGTTCGACGTATAAGTTAGTGAAAAATCGTTATAAACAGACAATTACTTTTTATATTGACACCGTTACTTTAACATAAAAACCGCCGTATTGTGGATAACCTGCATTCAAATGAAAAACAAAAAATCGTGCTCTATATAGAGATAATGAATACGAAGAACATCAATTAATATCACAACGTAGGTAGTAATAAATTATAAATATACGTTGAAAACTCTCTTCATAAAATGTTTACTATAATTTTATTTATCGCCTCAGATTTAAGTTTCGAAACATAGGTTTAGAACATCTTATATCCCCGTTGTGTACGCCCATCCGTATTAATTACTAGCCAATAAATATTAGTAATAACATTACTATTTAAAAATATAATTATTTTATATTATATCATTAATATCATTATTAATTTAACCATAAGTATTAAATATGAATTCATACTAGCCAACGTTAAAAAATAGGTATCAAAAAATAACAAACAAACAAACAAACGGGCATACTTCGCACGTAGATCACTGAGAAGTTGGAAAGATAGAGGGGAAATTGTATTATATATTTACGTAAAGATTAACCATTGTTAACGAAAAACGATTCTAAGCAGAGTTATGCATTTTCTGAAAGGTCGTAATATTTACGATTTTAAAATAATTTCGTAAATTGTTCTGTTTTTCCTACAGTATTTACCATTTATTATGGAAACCCTAGAAAAATAAAAAAATTATCCCCTTAAAGTACCACCCCAATAAGATTTCCTTTCAGAAAAGTACTACACTTGAAAATAGGGCCAAAATTTCTGGTAAAAAAGTTTTTCACAGAAAAAAATAAAAAAATAAACATCATTGTAAAAACAATACATTTCTAAATTCGTTCAGAATCTAAAATAAATACTTTACGAATTTTATAAATGCTCTTTAAACTATTTGCTAATTGAAATATTTAATTCATCTAAGTTTCTATACAAGTTATAAGCCCAGTATGTTATATGTACACCTACTAGAATTACCAAATTCGATTTTTCGCTGAATTTGTGTATTTTATTCATTCCAAACCTGACAGTGTTTTCAAAATTAAGCACTCGTATTTATTTTCGTCGAATTTTCGGCCGAAAATAGAAACTATTGCATTTTATTGTACATGTTATATACTATTCATCTTTACCCCACACCGTTTGGACACTTCAATCAGTACCCTCTGGACAATTTGAGCACAAATTCAGGAATTAGAATTTTCTATAGGTAGATTGAAGTGATACAGTTTTGGTTTAATTTGAATATGAATTTCACCATGTTTTCATGGAAAAAAGGATATTTTTAGTATTAAACACTCCTTCGGACTTTATAAATGAAACCAAAGAGATGCAAATCAATGATGTGTCTTTTGGTAGTTTTAACTTTCAACCTCCTATTCAACCATTTGTATATTCAAATTGCATGTTAAAATATCCCTACAGACGCATCGATGTAATTACTTAGTTAAAATTAGTATGTTTAAATAGAACTGTTAGAAAATTAAACTTCTAATCTTTGTGCCCACCGTATGTTTGTATGTTAGCAAACATTTCAAGAGTTACTATAGATATATTTATTTTGTTGAAACTTGTTTTTATTCTATTTCTTATCGTTATATCGGAAAGTAATTTTAGAATACTTTTTAAAAAACCAAAAGGGAGGTGTAGTAGCCATGATATAAGTTAGGAGCATGTAGGGCAGACGTGATCAACAGTTATCAATGTATTTAAGACTCTAAAATAAAATTTAAAAAAGAGCTTAACTGTTGGGAGCGGCCACTGTGAGAAGTTGAGAAGGTAGGGTACATAAGGTTATTTCATTTATAACTGTAAGCCACGATAAACCATTAATTAACGAAAGACGATTCCGAGCGTAGTTCGGTAATACATAATTTGAAGTACGGTATTTTCTTTTGCGATTTTCGTTAAAATTTGATTTCAAAACGCTTATTAAAATAAATAAAGTCGTCCGATGATTTCGGAAATTTTACCTCGTTTAGGTAAGTCCAATATAAATATTATTACCAAGTCTACAAGTCTCGACATTGATGTATAACCGAAATACAGCCAAAAACTCCCAAAAATTAAAATTCCTTAAAAACTCAAAAGTGGCTTAAAAATTTTGGCAAAAAGTAAATTAAAAAGACAATAAAAAAGTATCATGTAAGTTTTCGATTAAATCATTTTTTCTGGTAGTAAAAGTCATCGTTTTTTTAAAAAACAATGAAATTGTACGTTTTCCTCCGTTTTTTTTGCTACTTAAGTACTTTTATTTAAAAAAAGAATTAAAAATCAAAAAATTACCACTTTAAAGTACAATCTAGACAACTTAAGCTTTCATAGAAGTTGCTACGGGTAACTGGAGCAAATTTACTAAAAAAAAACGTGTCCACAGACTAGAAATAAACATCTTAGTAAAACTTATATAGCTCCCTCGTTACGCTCGAAATCTAAAAGACGTCCCAGGATAATGGGGACAAGTGCAGCCACTGTTATAGATAATTTAATATATACCTGTAAGCAACGATAAACCATTGCTTAGGAAAAAACGATTCTAAGTGAAGTTCAGTTGATAGTGCTGCTTTGTCAACAATATATATGTCAATTTATAGTAAAATAATTAAAAAGCTTTTATATATTTACTTTAATAATATTTGTTTAATGTTGTACCAATTTTCCCAGTTTTCCTACGTATTTCCTCTGTTTTTTCGATTTTTCGCATTTAATGATAAAACTCTTGAAAAAATCGAAAAATGACCTCCCTAAGGTACCTCCCTCGAGATTTACTTTCAGAAAAGTTGCTACACTTAAAAATCTGAGGAAGTCTTGTGATAGACAAGTTACGCAGAGATAAAATAAAAAATATATCAAATAATTTTACACCAAAATGTATTTTAACTGAAATGTCATCTATTAATAGCATTTTTAATAAAGATTGTTATTCGAAAATAAAAAAATGGAACCCCAAAAATAAGGATGACTAACAATAACGTTATTGTAACATTTAAGAGATGTTTATTTTTTAGATTGTCTAAAATAAAAATGTAAAACTTTTCAAACCTATGAGTGTCTTACTTGTTATGTTGATCACTCTGTATAATATGGCGGTTAGAACTCAAAAGATAAAAATACAAAAATATTAGCGGCCGTTCTCGGAGGAATCACGGTTGCACACAATAACCGGAAGAACCAGTACGCTTCGATTAACACACGAGACGATTATACGGTCAATGACTCATTTGATTCCGGTAGATAGTGGAAGAATATAAATTCGGGGTGAATTACGGGAAGAGCTCGGTTTACTTACGCCGCCTAAAGTTAACATGTCTCAAGAGATTCTCACTGAACCGAATAATACGGTCGTGTGTATAACGTCAGACAAGAACAAAAAAAAAAAAAAAAACAAACCAAAAAACCACACCAGAACCAGACCAGCAGGGTTTTGGGCTATCCTAAGTTAGTGATATTTAGTACGTCTTTCTCGAATACAAGAGTTACTTATAAGATGCCTCGACAGTTTATTAAACTTTATAGAATACGAGTATTTGAAACGACAATCAATATTATTGTCGTCTACCGGGAAAAAACGTACTTACCCTAGACGTACTCACGGGGGAGGTTCATGGAGTTTTAATTCCCCCAACCACTCCCCTCCCACTATTGGCGTATTTTTTTTTTTTTCGTAATTAATTCATATTTGTAAGGAATGTGAATATTCATTGTCTCATCGTATAATTTATATTTACAATATTATAACTATATAAATATATTTTGTTGCGCTAAAAAAATATTATTATTTTGATTTACCGATTGTATATAGTGATAACTTATTGATTTGTATTATCTATGTGGTTACAGATCAAGGTTTATTATCTATGGACACTGGTTAGCGCGGTTATCAACTTGGGGTGGAGCATGACCACGATTTAAAATAGAATCTATCAATGATCGTGAACGTGACCGTTGACTAATTAAAAATAAATTTTCTAATTATATGTTTATGAGCCTTGAGCATGGCCTTATCAGTTAAATATATATGTGATAGAAGCAAAATTAGGCGACATTAAAATTTGTTTTCGTTATTATTTTTTTTAACAGTCGTTGCGCCTTGTTACTGAACGTTATTAAGTTAAAGTAAGTATTTTAGGTGGGTACTCGGCGATAATGCATTCCAGCGACTGCCGCCGCCGGCGCCGCCGCCATTGCTTTTGTCGTAATCGACGCCGCGCGTTCGGCGTTCACCGCAGTGGTATA